GGGCACCGTGTGTGCAGATCCAGCCCGACCTGCGGGAGCTGATGGAGACGATGCACCGCATGAGCCACCTGCCGCCCGACTTCGAGGGCCGCCAGACCGTCAGCCAGTGGTGAGTGTCTGGCCCTTCCAGGTGGCCCTGGGGTCCCTCCCTCCGAGCCCACTCCAGCGCTGTGCTCCCGCCCCCCCAGGCTGCAGACCCTGAGCGGCATGTCCGCGTCCGACGAGCTGGACGACAACCAAGTGCGCCAGATGCTGTTTGACCTGGAGTCCGCCTACAACGCCTTCAACCGCTTCCTGCACTCCTGAGTCCTGGCTTCCCTGCCCGTGCACGGAGCGGACGGAGGAGTGGACGGAGCGGGGGTTCTCAGCCCAGCCCCCGGGAACCCAGCCTCCCAGGACGCTGTCTGCTTTTCTAGCTCCCTGGGCTTTCTGTGGCAGCCCTGTCTGTGTGTCTACATGTCTCTACCTGGGACCCCCCTTCCCCACAATAAAGATGTTTTCTGACCTTCCTGCTGCTGTGGGCACCCACCCGGTCTGCCTGGCATGTTTGTCTGCCATCTGGGCCTCGAGTGGGACCCTGCCATCCTGGAGCTCACAGTTCATCAGGGAAAGGTCAGGGTGCCCTTCAGGGGCAGCAGCCTGGGCAAGCAAGGGGGTGGTTGAGCCTCCACCTGGCCCAGGGGTGGCGGCAGCCCAGGCAGACAGCAACACGCCAGGAGGCCCCGGCTCTGGGTTCCAGGGTGCACCGTTTCACCTGTTAGCAGCTGTGGGTAAGGGATAAGCCAGAGTTTCATGGTAGCATTTTCTCCTTCTGAACTGTCCTCTTGCTACCTGTGGCCACTACAGGCCATGAAAGAAGGCATCTCACAGCGTTTTACAGAGGGACTGGCCTTGGGGGTCAGAGCCAGGGCCGGCGGGAGGGTTGATGGGGACCTCGGGTGTGGGTGTGGGCTGTGCTGGGGGCACCTGTTACTGTGAGGGAGGCCTGGCCCTGAGCAGGTCTGCCTCGGGCTGGCCTGGCCTTTGTGGGTTCTTGACTCGGTGCCGGGAAAGTTTCACAGCACGAGTCCAGATGGATTTTATTTGATTTTTTAAATATATTTTTATATTGATTTAAGAGAGGAAAGGAGAGGGAAAGAGAGACAGAAACATCAATGGTGAGAGGGAATCATCACTAGGCCGCCTCTTGAACATGGAACAGAGTGGAATCTCGGAGGGAAGGCGGGAAAGGGTGAGTGGGTGGGAGGTAATCAACCAAGGATCTTGCATGCATATATGCATGGCCCATGGACACAGACAATGGGGTGGTGAGAGCCTGGGGTGGGGAGTTGGGGCGGGCTGGATGGGGTCAATGGAGGTAAAAAGGGGACATATGTAGAAAGATAGAAACATCAATGATGAGAGAGAACCATTGATTGGCTGCTTCCTGCACGCTCCACACTGGGGATCAGGGAATCCAACCGTGACCTCCTGGTTCATAGGCTGATGCTCAGCCACAGAGCCACGCTGGCCAGTTTTCTTCCTGTTTAAGGCTGAATGCTGTTCCATTACATGGACAGGCCAACACTTGGTATGTGAGTGAGGTCAGCAGGAAACACTTGGCCCCGGACCCAGGACACTGCCCTGGGACCACCGGGAGCTCAGTCAGGGGTACCGACCAGGTGCAGGTGAGGAGGGGCTGCCCAGAGGCAAGGCTGGCTCCCTGGGGCCTGCCCCTCCCGCCAGGTGCCAGCGAGACAGAGATGAGGCCAGGGGTCAAAGGTCTCAAGAGGCAGCTGTAGGGCCCCCCCCCACCCCCCCCTG